TCTCCTACAGAAGAGATGGCCCTAGGGAAAAATCCAGTGTAGACTACAATTCACCTGCATAGCAGCTGACTGAGAAAGGAAGGAGAATGAGGTAGGACAGCCAAAAAAAATAAAATAAAATAAAACCCACACAGGTAGCAGGACACAGTTTTCTCATATAAAGACATCAGTGAGCAGAAGAACAGCAGTATCACCCTCATTCCTAAAAGGCAGGCAGAGGCAAAAAGAGGTTCTAAACGTTACTAGGATCATCATCAGCTGCCTCAGCTTCGGTTTCCATCAGTGCTATGATTCCATGTGTGTTCTTTACAACCTATGGCTTTTCTCTGACCCCCTGGAAGAAGCTACAAGAAACCCCATACCAATTATCAAGCAAAAACATGAGGCAGAATTGTATTCAGAGATCCTCACCCATTAGTTACAAAATAATCTGTGCTTCTGCTAGCTCTTCAGAGGATATTATATTAAGATTTTGATGAGTTTCCAGACTATCCCCCAGAGATACTTAGATTATTTAACAAAGAGGATTTCTGAAATCTCCAGACATTCATTCCTTCCCTTCCTCCCTCTGGGGCACCCTACACAATCTAACTTTCCACTTCTTCAGGCTCCTTGCAGCAGAACAGCCAGTTGAGCACCCTGCCTGCAGGGACTTTAGCTCTCCAAGCTCCCAGGGAAGGAGAGGAGCCAGTGCCACATCATCACACCAAGGTGAGCTTTAAGGAAGTTCAACTTTATGTCAGCTGCATAGAGGATGAAAGCCAACAAAAACATAAGGAACAGATGTAAATGGAGTGAATCCCTAGAATTTCCTTGAAGACAGCAAAGTGAAGGTGATACAGGCTTGCACATCTGACTCACTAATCCCAAGGGACCTGAACATCTCTCCCATTTGCCACTGCTCTATTTCAGATGCAGTTAGGGACGAGATATTTCAGGTCAGCCCTGCTTTTCCCTGCTCCCCAGCACCCCAAGCATTGGCTCTCCAGCAGATGCTAGTAGAGAGAAGGGAGAACCCCTGAATGCGTGGTGGTGGGGAGAGGTTGCATTCAACAGCTAGGAATAAGACAGAGAGGAAAGTGTTCTTCCTCACTATGAGGCTCCTCTAGGTTCGGACTTGGAACTTGCCAGCTTTAGTCATGTATTTTATCCCCTTGAAGGGCTTGTACTTCTCCCCATACATGTCCAAGCGATTCACCTTCAGTCCTAAAGGCAAACAAAGACAGTGTGAGACCAAGAGCTGCCACAACGCTAACAAGCCTTCAGAATAAAGGAGCAGAAAAGCCATGCTAGAGGCATAAAACACATAGGGGAAGTTTTAGCAAGCAGAAAATGGAATAGAGAAAAGCTGGCAAATGCAAGTGGTCATCAGCATTCTTCACAAACACATTCCTATTCTAAAAATTATTTAGTGGGCAGCAAGCAAGAAATTCAGGAGGAAATGGGCAGGCTGTTTTACAAAGCAATAGAGAGAACAACAAACCTGTATATGGTTCTATAAACACATTTCAGACAAACCATACTTCAAAGGGCAAGCACAGCTACATCAGCTACTTGCTCATCAGCACATGGACACAGCACAAAACATTCATCTTCTCCACCTAACACCACTTACCAGATATAGCCAGCTGCTGAATTTTAAACTGCAAGTTAATGGTGGGATTCTCATCAGGCTTGGATGCCCCAGCTTGAAGACTCATTGTCCCTTTCAAGCTTGGCAGCTTCTGGGGGTTTATTTTCCCAACATCCCATGAGAGCAACTTCAAGGACAGAAAATCCAGCAGTGAAACACAGGAATGTAACAACACCCTCTGGAGAGGACTGCCCTTCCAATGACAGTGTTTAACATTTCCCTAAACAAAGTGTTTGTCTCAGTATCCTCTCCTCTATATTGGATAGACAGCACCCCTTCCTCCTTCGAAAGGAGATTGGGGGGCCTCTGCTTCAGCGACAGCACACCCTTAAGGAGGCTTCTCTGCCTCCTTAGTTCTCTCTCTCTCTTTCTATGAAGCTCCCCCCCATATCTATCATATTGCTGAAAGGTTAAAATTTCTTATTTCACTTATTCTTTTCACCTTTGTAACTGGATCGAACACGTGTGTTCCCTGTGACGGTGTGAGGCTCATGTTTAAGACACCTTTTGGCATCTGGCTGGAGACCATCACTCCCTCTATGGTCTTTCCCATGGTCTGCTTGGGTCCCACAGTGATCTCGAAGCGTCCCAGTGAGCTGCCATCACGGAAGCTTATGTTGTGTTTGACGTAGACAGGAATTGCCACAAGACTGGAATAAAAGTAAAAACAAAGAAAACAGCATCCTTACGAATCCTTCCCTTCACTTTTCCTGATGCAGCCCGTGCCACGTTCCACACTGAAAACTGCACACAACAATCTCTGCAAAAGGAGAAAGTTAACCTATGCTGATTTTGGTGTTAATTACACCTTTTTAGCATGATTTTTATGTCCTAATTTTCTATTTTACATCACAGGAAGGGTTAAGGACTTTCAGTAGAGCAGAAGATCAAAAGAGGTGGAATCCTCTTGCACGTTACAACCAAACTAGCATGTAGTTTCAGATAGTACATGTGTCTGCTTTAAGTTGGATTTGTTTTACTGCTTTTCACCTACTTGAAATACATATGATAGAATCTAACCAAGTGTTTTAGAATCTATAACCCAAACTGCTAATGGCTAGACAGTTTCTGGGATGTGTGTATGCAAACAATTGGCAAAAAATATAGTTCTATTAAAAGACACATCCAAAAATAACTGTATTACAGAATTATCTTATCTTTTTTTTTTTTTTTTGAAAAAAGAAGTAAGCATAGAAAATCAGCAGGGAAGTAACTTCCTACTGCCTAATTCATTCCTGCCTTAATTCATTCATCTGCTATCGGACTTCAAATTGATGGCAAAACTTACAAAATGACTGCTCCTAACAAGAAGAAAGCAGGCATTTTTAAAATGAGAAAGTGAAAATTATCATGCACTTCTACTTCAATTGGCAAAGAAAGCCACCTAACCTATACTAGCAATTCCTTCTTTTCCCAGCCAAGAAGATCCAAATTACAGAATTTGCAGCATTAAATTCACCACTTACTTCTGAGCGCTGACATGATAGGACAACAAGCGAAAATTCCCATCAGGTGGAATGAAGGAGAGGATTCGCTCTGATTCCCAGCGCTTAAAACGCACGCATGGATGAAAACTGACATCATCCAGCAATCGGGGGTTCTGAAATAAGAGAAGAGCACGAAGTTGAACAAAGCAGTATTAGTTACAATAATCTTTCTCCTCAGCTTCCATGCATGAACTGTATACCACTCAATACCCTCTATCCAGTTGAAGGTGCATACATTAAGATATGTTAAACTATTTCATGTTGCCATGTCTGTGCAACAACTATACTCAAAATACTCTATGATATTTGAACAAATTTAGTCGTGTCAAATAATTACATTGATGAATACTCATGGAAAGATATTCCTTTAGCATATATGTATTAACATCACTTTATATCAGAAATTTATCACGTGAACAGTACTTTTAAACAAAGCATCGAAAATAAAACTCTTTGGCTCAAAGTTGCTGAAGTTCACTAGGAGCTTTCAGTGTCAGTCCTTTCCTCCTTTGGAAGATCTAGGTTCTGATAAACTGGAAACTATCTCAGTGAAACAAAAATCCTAGTAGCAGGATTGGGAAAAGCCATTAAAGATATCTGAGAAAAATCACAGTATATTATGCCCCTTCTTTAGGCTTTACCATAAAGGACAGTGTAAGGTCTGGCATGCCAGTCAGCTTGACACAAGCATCAATCACCCCTTGGATTTCAGCAGTAATTGTGGACCCTGCAAATATAAACAAAGGAGGTTATATGAGCCTGAACAAAACTCATCAGGACATGAAAAAGATACCAAGGCAAGGGGGAGAAAATCTAACACCTTTATGCTGGCTGTTCAATGTTTTTTTCACTCCTAATCACTTCTAGCGAAGACGCATACAAACAACCGCTGTCATCAGCAACATCCATTTTGATTACCAATGCCCAAAGATCCCAATTATAATAAGATTAAGAAACACTGAAACTAAGAGAATAGCCCCAGGAGACAGACTACTCACTCTTTAAATTTCCCATATAGAATTACATGCAAAAAAATCTCATCAATGGTCAAAGGAAAAGGACCAAGTCCATTTCTTGATGCTTCACTAACACACCTGACTAAACAGAGCTACAGTTGGCAAGACCCCGGAGGAAAAACAGGCAAAGAACTTCCCATATTTGAGGAGAAAGCAACTCCTTGGCAAACCTTCTTTCTTCAAGCACTATCAGAACAGGCTACTCTAGTCTTAGGTAGAAGCAACTTCCATACCTGACTTGTCAATGATTGCATCTATCTCCTCAATCACATCAAAATATGCTTCGTTGTTGGTGTATTTCACACCAGTACGTCTCCAAGGCACCACTGAGAGCTGTCCAGTGGGGAGCTGGTCACCCACATTTGTGCTTCCTAGGAAAGGAGAGGTGATCAGAAAAAAACACAAGTGTCAGCCAGTGCTCCAGGAGTCATCCCAGGCCTCATCTAACTAAGCTGCAATTAATTCCAGTGAAGTACAGGAAGGAGTTACTTCAAACAAACGAGCACAAACAAAACAAAATCCCATTCATCCAGGTAGTCGCATCATGGCTATAAGTAGAAATATAGTCTGTGTATTCAATGGTTTTATTTTTGATAAAGAGATGCAAACAGTACTGGCACTGGGACAAGTCCAAAAGCAAGGCATTGTCACAAAAGATCTAGCTGTGCTGAATTTCAGAGGCTATCTGGCAACACAGATTCTTGCCTTGACCCCAGCTTATCTGCTTTTTGTTTCCCTGTACCTGTGATGGTGTTGACAACTGTTCGCAGGATAGTGGGAGGTTTTATCAGCTCCTTGAGAATATTAGATTCCGTTGCCAATGGAAAGCCATTGTCGAGCATTTCCTCCAGTACCTCATAAACCACCACAACATTGTCCTTGATCATCACCTCTGAACAGATCCCAAAATAATCCTGTGCAAAAGAAATAATTACTCAACAACTTCTAGAAGCTGAAAAGCCCTTCTGATCATTTACTGTTCTGCTACATAGGAATGGCCAAGTCTCTGTTAGGAGGAGGTGAAACAACTCTGAAACTCCACATATCCATGGAAGTCCATTAAGCAGACTGAGCACTCCACCAGATGTGTACTAAGTTCTAAGCATATTTCCACCACGGCCCTTGCAAGCTGGCAAATTAGCGCATCATTATATGCTCCTATTTTCTCTCTATAAAAAGGACTCTCTCTTAGAGCTAAGAGACTTTTTAAAATTAGCGCTTACAAAATGGCTCGGGTGCAACCAATTAAGCAGCAGCATTAATATAAAAAGCTCCTTCAGTCATTACTCTGACTTGCGTATACTGATGCATTTTATTAGAACCCAGTATTAAACACACAGCCATCCTCATTTGCTCTAGTCTTTACCTGCAGGATTTTCAATATCTTAACTGCGCAGCACCAGCATCTCCTGTTCAAAGCTTTCTATTTAGTTTTGTTATAGTGCAAAACACTGTGCAGTGTTTTTGTGTTCCCTTTACTCTAGAGGGACTTTGTGCACCTTACTGGAGAAAAAAAAAAAAAAAAACCTTATTTCACTCAAAACATTTAATCCAAAGGCTCAGTGGGGCATGAGATCTTTAGAGCAACCTAAAAAAAATGAGTGGGTCTCACCAACAGAAAGGCAAACTTAAGATCTCCCTGGGTTTGGACTCTGACATTAAATGAATGAGTTGATTCACTCCCCGTATGCCATGGAAACCACTCAGAACCTACATCCACATGCCAGACTAGCATGCGGAAGCAAAGCTCACATGACACTCTTTTTTTGACCAAAGCCCATACTTCTTGAATTCTGGCAGGCTGTTGGTCACAGGACACTCTACAGCCTACACAACCCCGTTAACAGCAAACCGAGACCAGACTCCTCGCTAGTTGCCCAGACTGACCTGCAGTCATGTCAAGATGACATGCAGGGGACTGTGGTTGCTCTGAGGCAACTCTTGTGACTCGCTTCTTTAGGGGAAAAAGAAAAATTACTGTAGATCAATCCTGCATGTGAGAGGGAGTTATTAAAGAGCAGGAAATAAGAAAAGAGAAAACCAAGCACCAGGCGCTCCTTTTCGCCTCTATAGAGGAGCCCTGGCCGGGGGCTTTTCCCGCCTCGCAGGCGCACCTGGAAGGTGTCGACGACGCGGTGCAGGAACTCGATGACGAAGAGCGGCGGCACCTCGCTCTGGATGACAGCCACGAAGAAGATCTTGTGGCGGTAGACGCTGAGGAGGTAGTGGTGCGGCGTGGGGATGACGGGAGGCACATTCTCCGCCTCCGAGGCCCTCTCCTGCGCCTCGAAGAAGTAGTCGCAGACGGAGCGGCTCCCGACGCGCCTCAGCGCTGCGCCCCGCCCGCCGCGCGCACGAGCCCCTCAGCACCCCGCAGGGCGGGCGCTAGCAGCGAGCGCTGATTGGCTGACCCACTAACGGAGGCTTCCTATTGAGCGCGCAGAGGCGCGGGGGCGATGACGCGCCGCAAGCCAACGCTGCTCTCGGCTCCCATTGGAGGCGCTGCACGTCACTCAACGCCCCAGGGGGCGGGGCAACACGCGTCACTCCTCCCTCCTCGGCCCCCCTCCCGCATTTTAGCTCCTGATTTTTGTCCGTGAAGAGACCCGAGTCCTTCGGGCTCTTTAACCACCGAGAGCAGAAAATTCTCGCGTTAGAATGCAGAGAAAAAAGAAAAAGTACAGCTTAAAGTTTGTATTTCATTTTGCATTTATGTTTTCTGACGACTTCTCCCTATATATATATATGTTGGTTTATTCTGACATCACCTTTTTACCCCCACTTTATTTAAGGTATTAGATGAGTCAACGTGTGTCAAAACAGATTTTACTATGATGGGAAAGAACACAGGAGAAATGACCCGTTATAAAATCACCTTTAACAGTCATGAATTGTATCAAATGCATTTATAAAAATAAAGCAGCAAAAACTGTTTTAAAACATCTTTAATTCTAGTTAAAGTAATGGATTATACAATTAAGATCAGGATACCAGCCATTTATGGCAGTATTTTATATTTTTAAAACCTTTTACCTGGTGTTTTAGTGTTAATAGTGTTTTCTCATGAAACACTATTCAGGCTTGGCTGTATTACACATTGCTTAAAGAACTGCCATGTCTTTCTGGCTGCTTACACTCCTCATCAAAAATGTGAATATTCCCTCAGTTCCTGATGTTGTTGATTCTGTAGCTTTCTTCTGGTAACATCATTTTTTTTTTAGCCTTCCGGAATGTTGGTTCTGAGGCAAGAGCAACCATAGACCAATAAATTGTTTGTGTCCACCAAAGTTAAAAGTTGTTGAGGGAAGAGAGGGAATACATGTTTCTTCAAAAGATTTATGAAAAAGTAATCACGAGAGATAATTTGTCAAAGTCCTTTGAGCAGTTCTGACCTTTAAAGAGTTCCCATGTAGCTGGGACACTGCTCTGAAGTTTAAACTTTTTCAAAAAAACCAAAACAAAACAAAAAAAAAACAACACTATTTTCCTGGCTGGGAAGCAGAGTAATTTGCAGTTATGTGGCTGTTTACTCCTACAGAAATGCTGCCTGGCTGCTTCCAAACCGTTAGCACAAAGATCATATTTTTGTTCAGAAACTGAATAAATGCTTTTCTCCACAGTGGCTCATTACAAAGTGGAAAATAGAAGGAGAACGTTGCAGCTGATGCTGCCAGTGGAGGATTTTGCAGCGCTGGATAACTCAGCGGCAGCCTCAGAGCAGCTCAGTGTACCCTCCCCTGCAGGTACACAACCCCCTGGGAAGCCCGGGCACAGTCAAAGAACCACGTTAGAAAACGGTGTTGCCAAACTGCACCCTGTCTTTACGATAAAACAATTCCTTACCATCTGTAGTTGGCCATATGCAGGAATCCTGATGATTTAGCTGTCAGCCTGTGCTGTGAAAATAAAAAAAGAGGGTGAGTAGAAGAAAACAGGCTATTTTTTATGTGTAAAGTACCGTGCAACATCTATTAATTTTGCAAGGGTGCTAATAATAACCTACTGTGAATGCTGAGACAGAAAGCAGTTTATAGGCTGATGCTCTAAGGAACGCAGAAAGTTGCATTGCGCTGTTATATAGTGAATATTCCCAACACTTGCTACGCTTACTTGTATCTTCTGTTTAAGTTATACCTATATCTTCATGAGCTTTTATGAATTTAACACCACAGCCTCCCCATTTACCGTCCTAGGGGCCACACAGCTCTGAATTTTGGAGGCGAGGGAAGAGGTGGGAGAGGTGTCGGGCACCTCCAACAGTCCTGAACCCACATCGTCCTCAATGGCCCAAGCAGTAAGTGACCAAAAACTTACTTCTTATCAAAAAGTCTGTTGTGTTAGAAGCCCATGTCAATATTTCATACTGAAAAGTCTGTCGTGTTAGAAGTCTATCTCAAAAGAGTTCCTCTTGCTCAGCAAATGAACCTTTGGTGACCAAGTTTATTAGTTCTGTCTGAATATCCCTTTGGATTTTTTAACGTTCTTTCCAAAATTACAGCGACGCAAACACGACGTTTAACACAATACTTACACCATAGCTCTCCTTCAACCCAGCGGCGAAAACTGCCTCTCCAGCGCGCAGGTGGAAGCAGAGCTGGAAAGAAAGGCTCAAGAGATTACGGTTAATGGGATTATCGCGATCCGCGCTGCTATTTTAGCCCAATATCGCGGCCGGGGAGCGGGGCGGCTCGCGCTTCCCGCC